GTCCTATATGACGGCAAAGTATAGGACAGTCTGACAGCGTGATGGTAAAGACGTTGTATCACCACTTAGGCTCATAGTGGTGGTTGTCGGTTAGAGAAACTCCCACCTAAACTATATATTACTTTATTATATAAGTAAAGTTTAGTTTGTTATTGCATTTTCTTTAACGAACTAAGTTGTTTTTACTGTTTTATAAAGCTTTCCATATATTGCATGTGTATTGTTGATTTATATTAAGTTGAGTATACAGAGTTGAGTACCCAGAGTCGAATATCATATCTTTGAGTTGAGTATCTAATCTCTGAGTTGAATATCTTATCATTAAGTACTTCTGAGTTGAGTATCTAATCTCTGAGTTGAGTATCTTATCCTTAAGTACTTCTGAGTTGGGGTAAGTTGAGTAGTTTTGAGTATCCTTAGTATTCCTTGAGTTGAGTAAGTTGAGTAGTTTTTGAGTATCCTTAAGTATTCCTTGAGTTGTAGTAAGTTGTAGTAGTTTTGAGTATCCTTAGTATTCCTTGAGTTGAGTAAGTTGAGTAGTTTTTGAGTATCCTTAAGTATTCCTTGAGTTGTAGTAAGTTGTAGTAGTTTTGAGTATCCTTAGTATTCCTTGAGTTGAGTAAGTTTGAGAAGAGGCAAGTATGTTCCTTTTATCAAAGTTCAAGCTTATGTTTATGCTTTAGAATTCCTCTTACATGCTCGTACATTCCACGTACTGAGCCATTTGGCCTGCATCTTCTCATGATGCATACACAGGTATTCAGGGTCATCAACAAGAGCTTCGTTGATACATCCAGAAATTTGAGTTAGCTATGGTGAGCCTCCTTGTTTTCGAAGAATTTCATTTACTTTTCAGTTTAGTCAGGATGTCGTAAGTCTTGTCCCGACTTCCATCTTTAACAGTTAGAGGCTTCATAGATAGTCAGTATAGTTGAGAAGTCTGTATTATTTATTTTATTAAATATTTTAAAGACTTAAGTTGCCTATTTTATGGCGAGTTGAATAATTTATTTTATTCAGAGTTTTCTTTTGAGTTAAAGATTTCTATTTAAGTTTTATGAATATTTATTCAGTTTTTAAGCTTTGTATGCTTGAGTTAGTCTTCCGCTTGAAGTCAGCCAGGATGAGGGTTCGCTTGGGGACCAACAATGGTTCTCGAGTGCCGGCCACGTCCAGGGTGTAGGTTCGGGTCGTGACACATTCAACCACTTGTCATTTTTTAGACATATTATGCATTGCTACCACATTCACATAAGAGAATGGAGCAAATCAAATGGGCGGATTTCATGACTTTTATCAAGAGCATATCAATTTGCTCAATCATCATTACATTATCATTATATTATGTTAGGACTTGAACCCAACGTCTTACCCATAATAAGGCATTTTAGGTCATTATTTGTTGAGACCCAACCCAACATTTTATTATCATGATGCATCAGGACTCTTACCCCTCTTGGTGCGATAGGACTTGAATCCTTCGTCTTACCCTCAATCAATGACACAAATGCCAAATATAATAGGACTCACCATTGAGCCTTAAAAAATAATATTACCACTTTGTGATTAACATGCTCAAATAAATATAGAACAAAATTGTTACTTTGTCATTAACATGCATAATAAAATATAGAACAAAAAAAAACATAATAAAAATATTCTCAACAAAGTATGTACTAATATCTTAAACTTGTCAAAACAGAGAGTTACATATAACATTTTATTATTTAATGTTTGGTGCATAATTATTAAGGTAGTGAATTACCGTTATAAATCAAAGAATCAATTGCACACTAAAAATAAATAAATTCCAATTACACTAAAATAAAACTGCTCGCTACCACCATCCCTTTTTCAATTTCCATGTGAACCCAAAATATTTCACACACAAAACAAAATAAATTAAAAGCTTATGCAATAACCAAAACAGTGAGCATAATCAATAAATAAAATATAAAATAAGTTTCACATACAAAAGAAAGTATATATAGTCATAGGTGGAAAAAGAAATGCACAGTAACAATAATATTAATCATTCACCTTGTTCACAAGTAAAATATAAAATAGATTCCACAATAATTTACCTTGTTTCCGAGAGAAAAATAAACACAATTATTTTACCTCCTTTTATTTACTTTGCTTCAATCCTGCAATGGTAGAACATTCGTACTCATAACGTGTTGTAAAACGTAAGAACAAAAGAGCAATATAAAGATGAAGACAAGAAGAATATAGCACAAGAGGAACAATATGCGATAACTTTCTTTCTTTCAAGTATTCACCAAATCTTCAAGTGTATACAATATGAACTCTTATGCCTCTATTTATAGTGTAACATAGAGGCATACAAAAGGTTAGTCATAAACATGACATTAACATGGATATGATGGGGAGGTTATGATAGTGAAAGGTTACAAGAATAATGGTTATAAAGGTGGAGGTTATGGAGGTTATTGTTATCTTCATAATGGAGGAAAGTAATGGAGTAACTTTTTGATTTAGTGGACATCTACAATATATTATTTTATAACACTTTCAACTTTTTAAAAGTCATTTTTAATATTTTAAACTAGTAAAATCACCTGCGCTTCGCAGGGAAATTTAATATCACTGAATTTATAAAATAATACTTAAAACCTATGAGTCATTAAAACTAAAACACTATATTATCTTACATATAACAAACATTAATAAAGTAAAGGAAGATGATAATTATAATATCTTATCATTTATCCTTCAATCAATCATCTTTAATTTGATTTTATGGAAGTGTTATTACTTGATATTTTTGGGGATTCAAATGAACATCAACCATATCGGAGATATTAAATTTTCTAATAAATAAATAATCGTTGGTGAAGGGATAAATAAATTTTAAAAGGATAAAAAAAATGAACAAATATTCTAATTCTAACGTGTCGAAAGTTTAGCTCTACCTTTTGCTTTACATATATCATTTTAAAGTTCCCCATTTAAATGAATCATAAGTAATTATTAAAATGAAAAATTAAAGGGAGAATGTATCATATTGGACAACAATTTAACTTATTATATATACTTGAAAGGGAAAAAGATTACACAATTATTCAGTTTGTCTGGGTGTTTTTTAAAAATCAACATACCAATGAACTTCAATTTGAAACTACACCTCTATTCCAATCACAGTATCGAGAAACACATCTATTACTTCAAGAAAGCTTTTACAACTTGTAGTAAACTTGAGAATCTGTCCATACTTCATATTGAATATGAGCAATTAATTTATTGTGTTGATTAAAAGAGGCTCCACTCTAGTCATATTCCTCTATAGGTCATCCGCCACATCCTTGAACTCATGTCAAAAGTTTATTAATTTTTATCTTCTTTTCTTGGTTCACTTCGCACATCAAGGTGCGATAAAGTTTTTAAGGTCTTTCTGTCCTTACAATGGTATACCAAATTTGAATTTTGTCTTCAAGAGATAATAGTATAGATCTTTAAGGAGTTTTCTTACTGTACCTTCAACAATTTCAATAGAGAAAACTTGCGTGAATACTCAATTAACATATGTTATTTAATCAAACATAAACAACAAAGTTTAAAACATGTACTCAAAAACAACAATTAATAACATAAGCATAAATTAATGACTGTAAAAAAACATACCAGGATGAAACAGAAAGGAAAAATTGTACATGAATATTTAATTTTGCAGAAGAAGAAGAAGAAGTTCAGAATTTTTGTTGTTTTAAAATGAGAGGAAATCCCTCTATTTATAACTAGACAACAAAGGGTAGTTTGAACAAATGTTTATTGTGCCTTATCGAAAAGGTCACGACTCTTTGGAAAAGTTACAACCCTTCGGAAAGGTCATAACCTTTCATAAAAGTCGCAACTTTTCATATAAGTCACAACTTTTCATTAAAGTCGCAACTTTCTATTAAAGTCACAACTTTTCATGAAAGAGGAAGACTAGTTTTGTAAATATATAAATTAAAAAAAGAATCCTGGTTTGTGGTGGCGCGACGTAGGCAGGCCTATGGTTCTTTTATATATATATATATATATATATGATATATGATTGTCAAACACTCCAAAAATTAAAAATAACTTAAAAATAGATTTAATCAATTTTTAAATCAATAAAATCAAAAATTTGGAATATGGCCAAACGCTAGCTTAACATGGAAGAGGGAGTAGAAAGTTGCGCGCCGCCTCAGCCTTTGAAAATCTTGTGGTTGCACACTCACCAATGTGTCGCTGTTTTCCACTCCATTCAATCTCATCATTCTTTGCTCAACCCCACCACTTCCGCCAACCCACCAAGCCAAACCAAACCGGTAAGTGAAAAACCCAAAAAAAGGAATTTGAAAAACAAGTGATTTCTGCAGTAGGTATACATACTTCCCCACCAAACGTTTTCGGATCTGTTAACTCCAACATTATTGAGATCTGCTTCTTGGCTTGATGCTTATTTGTGCGTGTTAGTGAAAACATTATTGTAGGTATTGCCTTTTTCTGCTTAGTTGAAGAAAATGCCAAATATTGAATTTTGAAACAGCTAGTTGACAAATTATGGAATTTCTTGAACATGTTTTTATCTTTTTGGCTGTTTGTTACATATAAAAGAACGAACAACTTTATGACTGCCCTGTCTTTTAGATGAGTTGTTTAAATTGTAGTTAGTCTTAAATTTTAGAAAGTTTAATTGATCTATGGACGTTTGTTGTTTTAGAATTCCTAGCATGGGAATGGGTCTGTGCAATATCTTTACTTTTCATTAGTTTTGGTGTACTTGCTATAGCTAAATGAAAGAATGGAAGTATTTTGGCAGTTTGCATTTTTAAGAGAGCAAAAGAAGAAAATAAAAACACTTCTTGGCCTTCAAGCACCTTGGTTTATTCCTGAAAGCCTGCTTAATTTAATAAGTACTGTCTACCCAGTATAATTGTTGTTACAATAGGAAGTTTCGTGGAACTGTAAATCTAAGTTGCTCGGACTCTTCAAATATGTCGACGGATGCATGTCGGATCCTTCAACTTAGCTGTAAATTATGTTGTCACTATTGTCTTGTGAACAGTCCGGAATTCAAAGGAATTGAAATACTATCTAATTATATGTCAAATTTAGTATCTGGGGAACTTCAGTGACTATTCTCTGCAGAATGCAAGAGGTATGACAAGTGTGTGTTTGCAAGTACCTGTTAACTCTTTGCTAAATCATTCTAATCACGATGTTCGGTCTTGTTTCCTAAATTGTGTGTTTGGTTTATGTTGCCAAGAAAATGTGATATTTGAATGTGGCTTAATCATAAGCCCTTTCAAATACTGTTTGATTATCACTTGTGAAGTGATTGATTTAGGATTATAGACATCTCTGACTGCCACATCTTATGTTTTGCAGAGGGATTTGGTTGGTGAACCTGTGGTTTCGTTCTACAATCATAAATGAATTCTGCCATGTCTTCATCATCATCATTTATGATTGCCTCTTCCTGCTGCCAAAATCTTCAAAGCAGAAAATATTTTCTTTTAGCACCTGAACCTTTTGAGAAGATTGGTATGATAGATGCACTCCAAAAATATAACTGTAAGGAAAGGAAGGTATTAATTTCAAGTCATTTGGTGCCTGGACATTTGGATTCATCGGGTACAAGAAAAAAGTTTTTACACGAGCCAGTTCCAAAGTTAGAATTTGTGCGCACACTACTAATTGACAACTATGACAGTTACACTTACAATATATTCCAAGAGCTCTCAATCATTAATGGAAGTAAGCTCTCTCTATTATACATTGTTTACGAGTTCTCTCACATAACTTTTACCATCAATTCAATAAAATAAAAAAACTTGAACTATCAATTCACTCAGCCTGTCATAGCTTCTTTGTATTGAAGTTGAAATGAGTCAGTTTCCTTTTATTGACTTATTCTAATCATTTACATAACTACTCCTCTAAATGTGGTAGTATGTCTATTCCTTTTGCCTTTTCTTTGGTCTGTATTTAGCAGTTACTGTTTGATGTCTCTGTATTTTGATACATATAAAATATAAAATAATTCCACGTTCTCTGTTGATAAAATGTATTTCATTGGAGCTTTGTAAGTAGTCCTGTTTTCTTTTTTTTTGTTGTTATACTTTTGAAGGTGGCCAGCATTGCCCTTAATGCTGAGGAATACAGAGTTACCAGTTTCAAAAAAAAAAGTAGTTCTCTTGGACAAGAACTATTCGTTGACCAACATTAATTCATGAAGTGGAAATTACTATCTTGAGTAGACCTATTGCTAAATTTGTATTTGTTCCCTTCACTTTCTTCCTTGAGAGACCCCCACCCCATCCCAAAGACAAGTATCATTAGCTTTGGGCAATTACAGAAACTAGATGTCCCCAGAGATTCAGTGCTTTCTTTCCCATTCAGTATAAAACTTGTGTAGGAGTAGATCTCTGTATCTAAGCTGCGATACATAGAGTTCAAGCAAATGTGACAGCAATTGTGTAGTAATGTGAAGCTGTAGGTGATGTTCTTCGTCTGTTCTGCAAATCAAGCAATATTTCATATAATTCCTTCTTTATTCAATTTGGTCCCTCGTAAAATAAGTCAAAGAAGTAGAAAATTTTAAAAGGAACAACTCTTTTAGTCCCCTTCCTGTGACTATATTTTGTACTACATTCACCCGGAGTAAAGGTAGGATTTGAAAATCTTCCTTCTCATCCACACCTTAAGTTGCTAAGCCTCCCCTCCTGGCTATCTATGATAGGCCTCAAGTTGGTTCCAGCTTGAATGTAAAGACTGTTTTTCTTTCTTACGACATGGAAACTTTTTATCTTTTTAGAACCTCGAGAATGGAAGTTCCTCATCTCTCTCTTCTATTCGCTTTTTACCTTTTCCCCTTTTCTTGAGAAAAATTGAGAAAGCATGACTTGTAACTTTGTAATTTGATTTTTAGTGATCTCTACGCTTTACACCTAGCTATTAAAAGGAATAATTTGTGGGAGCTGATCATTTTGTAATTATGAAGTTCCATTAGTGCCTTTTGTATTGTAAGCTGTAGAATAGGAAATATGCTTTAGGATGATATGCTGAGAATAACATGAACACACTGTAAGCTGAGGGCGTGGGCTTTACTTCCATAGTAGTAGTAAAAATATGCAAATTATCTGTAGGTGGCCAGCTTGCTTGTTTCAACAGATTTGGACTCTCTTTTTTAAATATTGAAGAAGAAAAGGGCTACTTTTTAGATTCTCAAGTTTAGCTTTGTTTTTCTGATGGCTTTTCCTGATATTTGGTTGCTTCTAGATTGTATGATTTTGATAAATTGATGACTGTTGCCAATATGAACTTATTAGAACAAAAACATTAGTTTTAGATTCCTTCATGTTCTGTTGTATTTTGGAAATTTTGGTTGCGGGTTGTCACTTGCATTAATCATCTAGCACCAAGTCATCTTTGAGTGTGCAATTTTCCAATCTTTCCCTGAATTTCATAGCATTGACATGAGTTTGTGATGTCTGACATTTTTTATTTTAATTTTTGGTTATGTTAGTGCCTCCGGTGGTGATTCGAAATGATGAGTGGACATGGAAAGAAGTTTATCATTACCTGTACGAAGAAAGGGCATTTGACAATATTGTTATATCACCTGGTCCTGGTTCTCCAACATGTCCATCAGATATAGGTTTGACTTGGACTCTTGAAATCCAAATGATCTACTCTCTTTTCCTTGTCTAGGACAAGATAAATCTTGTTATTATTTTGCACTTAGATGCATTAACTTGTTGGGATCAGCATATTGGTCATCCCTCCTTGCCTTGGAAACCTGATTCTAAGTGCCTTGTATTCTATTTCATGTGTATTTTTGTTCATTCTAAACAAAGACTTGCCAATGTGGCTTCTTTATTGTCCTAGATGAGGTAACTTACAAGAGTGTGAATGGTTCTGCTTAATCTTAGAGCTTGATGTCATTAATGAGAGTATATATAGTTCTGCTTAGTCTTAGAGCTTGATGTCATTAACTTGAAAACCTTCCAATATCATAATATTGGTGTGGATGTTGACTATCTAAGTTTTGTTTAGCTTCAACTTTACTTGCTTGTTAAGTTGTTATGGTTATCACGAGTCGCCTTTCATGCCTTATACCTATGTTTCAGGAATTTGCCTGAGGCTCTTGCTTGAATGCATTGATATCCCGATACTAGGCGTCTGCCTTGGTCACCAGGTAATGTATCCATTTATATCTGTCTGTAATATTTTTCATTCTTTAACATATGATTTTGCATGAGTTCTGTTTGATCAAGTTTACGCCTGCTAACTTGTGTAGCTTGTCTTGCTATTTTGTTGTCTCCTTTGGTACTTCTCAAACCTTCACCAAAATGTAATTATTGTTGATTTTAGGGACAAATTACAGTTTTTATGAGATAAAAAATTATAAGTAGTTGATAGTTAATTGTTAAGAAATAAACTTATGGAAACTGGTATTTCAGAGGTCTTATCACCTTATGTCATTCACAATATGGAAAGTAGTTCACAATATGAGGATTGACTATGGTTGCATAATATTTTATTTGTCATTAAACAATATATTTATTTTATCTTCAAAATCCTGCTTCTTGCATGTTACTCCAAATTTCCTTACCAGCAGGCTAATAGTGCTGTTTATAGCTTTATTATGGTGAAGGCTTAACAACATAATATTAGTTTAAGGTGCCAATTTCAGCATGTTGCCAGCTAGATATCAGTTTTGACATGTCACATGTGATAATTCTGTTTTACTGCATAAGATACAACCTATAAGGGAATATGTTGCACAAGCTTTCTATGTTGCCCCTCTTTGCCGACAAATCAAGTACTAACACAGTATGTCGATTGACAACCCTAAGCCATACAAGTCACGCTTCTTGGTTGGCTATCCTCTTGCAAGCATATTTACATTAATCTGGTCCTTCATTTCTTCTTTGGGCTTGAGGCTGCCTGGTCCTATAATGTGTCTATATAAGGTATTGCCTTATCTTTAGTGAGGTAGATTAAGTGAAAGTGCTGAGTGATGTTTTCCTGTCCTTTATACTTGTAAGAAAATTAAACTTGTAAGTTCCAATGATGTGATTTTCTCATTTCTATGGCAAATATGATGGGCAACAGGGCAGAGGCTCATTGTTCTTACAATTTGTTTGTAGAAAATCAAAAGGTCACTAGACGGTGCAGAATATTGGAATATCAGCTTTCTTTAATTAGTTTTGCTTCTGATTCTTTGTCATCCAATTATATAAAGCTTCTGAAATGGTAGAAGCTCGTATACCACTTAATTCCTCAATGTTTGTTGGGTTCTACTCTTAACACTGCCACATTTGGTCTTCAATTAATGTGGAGGTTTGGGATTGTCTTATATTAGAGGGTAATAGAAAATTGAAACAAAGGCTTCTACTGTGTAACACTTGGGTAGTCAGTAGCAGTAAAAAGTCCTGTCTTTTTCAGAACCAAGGTATATATATCTTGGATTTGGATGCTTAACTGCTTATTCCCTTTGAACTATTGGTACTAGCTGGTGTCTTTAGCTGGTTGAGTACAAGTAAGATACTTTCTATGTATTGTGTTTGCCTATATAGGTGCTAACGCCCAAAACCACACTTCAAAGAGAGGAAGTGTACATGGTCATATGCAATATAATTACAAACTACGCATAGCCAAATACTTAATAATATTTAGAGTTTTTGAGAAAATTATAACTAATGAGGAAATATAAACTAACCTAGAAAACAAGTAAAATGATCAATGGCCACAAACATGGATACAAGGAAATCACTCTCAATAACGATCCAATGTATTTCAGGATTTTACAAATAAGAGTGAGTTTATGTTAATTAGTCTCGGAAAACAATTCTATATTAGTTCCTCTTGGACACTAACAAGACTACCTAGTTGGCTATCTCTAGCCCAATTAAGAGCATTAAAAACACCTGAATGTGGCTACAAGTATTTCTCCTATCTCTAGCTCGAACTGAGGGTTAATGCCCCAAATTCTTGTTAATCAATCTTTTCCATCCTCTATGTGCCTCTCTTGAACTCAAATCAATGTAAATGGGTGTGTCCTAGGGTTAGCTACTCCCTTGGAAACATTAAAGAACAAGAATAATTTAAGAAACAACTAACTCACTTCATTAAGAATAAGAATCATTCAATACATTAGCAAAACAAGAGATTTAATCCAAACTTTAATCATAAAATATTTCCATAAACAAGATTCAAGGATGGAATAAAAAGACTACACCCTTAAATATTCAATACATAACAAGGGAATGACGAAATGAATAAAGGTTGAGAAATTTTTGATCAAAGTCTTCAAATATTCAGTCCCCAAGTGTGGTAGTAGATCTTGTTGAGCACCTCACTCATCCCCATGAAAGAAATCATAGATATTCATCTTGTGATGTGTAGGTGATACAGTCTATGCATGTTACAAGCCTCTAGTCATGTTTTTGTAGATTTTTCTATAGGATCTAAAGTGTGTACTTGACTTTTACATGATTCAACAGGCATTGGGATATGTGCATGGTGCTCAAGTTGTACATGCACCTGAACCTGTCCATGGTCGTTTGAGGTATATGATCTGTGTTTTAAGTGTTCATGTTTTTTTTCTTCTTTTCTTTTATGGTGTTACATTAACTAATGATCATTTGAAACAAAAAATACTGTGTCATTAAAATATGCATATAAGATGGTGATATGTGGAGCATCATAAATTGAAACCAAGATTTTAATAGTTTGTTGAACAACTGATAGTGCTAGCTCAGCGGTGAAGGGTGTTCAAAGTTGACTTGAAGGTCATTGGTCCAAATCTTGCGTAACTCTCATGCTACATTACCTATAAAAAAAGGTTTGTTGAAAACACTTACAGGTTCCTTCTGAAAGAACACACATATGTTGTGGAGAGTTCACAAACTGAAACCAATATATTAATAGTTTGTTGAAAACACTTGTAGGTTTCCTTCTTAATAAAGAAACACACATATAGGTCTCCAAGAGAAGGTTTCCTGCTGTCCGGAAATCAGAGTTAGGAGCTTAGCATTCTTACTCCTCATTTGTGGTTTTCACGTTAGTAAAGACTTGATTAAGAAATTTTCTGCTGGATAACTGTGATTCTTTTTTGGTGACTCATTACATTTATCTTTTCCAAAATGTCTCTTCTTTCTTTACCTTGCAGTGATATTGAGCACAATGGCTGTCAATTATTCCATGAAATTCCTTCAGGAAGAAATTCTGGATTTAAGGTCAGTTCGATATGAATTTGTTCAGTTCTTTTGTTGTGTTTATGTTATGATGAGATATGTAAGTCAATTTGAAATGCTGGCTTTGTTTCTTCACGTTTTTTTTCTCAAAATTTCTATTGATTTTAGATTTTAGAAGACTGTAAAACATCATTTAGATGATAAACTTCAAATAATATGGGAATCATGGGTGTTTTAACTTTTACCAGCACCCATATGAGTAAGAGCTTTAGTCAAACTCTGTTTTGTTGTTTGCGGTTATACATGCACAGGAAAGCATACACATTCTCATCCAGCAGTAAGATGAAGTGCTAGCATGGAGTCCAACTTTCTTGTGACAAAGATGGAGCAAGGAACAAGGACATGAAATATGTGGGGATGCTCGATAATGTGCTCTTAATAAGAGCTTCCCTACCTCCTTTGGATAAATATCTTTTTTGCCATGCTGCAAATCATACTGTGTGATACTTTATTATTGTCTATGTTTAGCCTATAAATAAAGAATTGGAGAATAATTAGGGAACAAACAAGAAAAGGAGAAACAAAATCATTGGCATCAAGAAAGAACAGGATAGAGAAGCTGAACAGAAGCCCCAAACTGAAGTAATAGAAGTAAAAGATGCACAGAGAAGAAGAAAAAGAAGAAAGAGGCATATTGAAAATCAAGAAAACTATAAGATGATGTGCTGTAAATGAGAGAAGAAACATTAATTGAAATTGTTAGAATAGAAATAAGTATTTCCTACTTAGAATAGGAATAGGAATAGAAATAAGAATAGGAATCTTAGTTGGAAAAGTATTCCAATGTAGTGTCTATAAATAGGGTCTCAATGTAACTATTTAAATACACAATTCAATAATATTTTTCTCATATATTTCTCACATGGTATCAGAGCATTGGTGAGAACAAACAAGTCACCGTATGTCTATGTCAATTTCCGGTGATTGTTGGGTTTGATTTTGTTATTCTTTTTTCTTTCTGTGGGTGTTGTGCAAAAACCAACACCACCACGAGGCTCGGAAAGCTCCCGTGACCAAACCCCAGCCAGAACCACCGGAAAACATCACCCCACGCGCTCTCACGCGCCGACCGGAGGTGGTAGTTTCCGGCGAGATCTGTCTCACGCGCCAGCGCGTGAGGGATTTTCTGATCATATTTTTTGAGAAATTTTTTGACAGTTGGGGTCGTCCAGCCATTCCGACCAGGCCCATACTGGTTTTGACCAGATCCGATTGCCGGAATTAGGGTTCCGGCTATTTCCAGGCTGTTTTCGATGACTTTTCTTTGAGATTTGAATTTTCCGACAATCAGATCTCAATAATCTAAGATTTTTTCGTTGTTTCCAAGACAAATTTAGCATAATGTCTTTTGGGTGTGATGTTTTTGGTTCTAAAAATATGGGGATTGGAAGTTCTTGCCCTATAATCACTTCAGAACTTTTATTGGGAAGTTCAAACTATTTATCTTGGGCTACCTCAGTTGAGCTGTGGTGCAAGGTGCAAGGGTCAAGGTGTCCAAGATCACTTAACTAACAAGACTTATGTGGTAGATGTAAAGACAAAGACTAGTGAGGAAGATGCAAAAGCCACAACACAATGGGAGAAAGTAGATGCTCAATTATGTAGTCTCCTATGGCGTAATATTGATTCCAAGTTGATGCCCTTGTTTCGCCCATTCCAGACGTGTTATACAGTTTGGGAAAAGGCTCGTGCTTTATACACTAATGACATATCTTGATTCTATGATGTGATAGCTTGATTGACCAACTTAAAGAAACAAGAATCCGATATGTCTACTTACTTGGGACAGGTACAGGCAGTCATGGAGGAATTTTGACACATTGATGCCAGTTACTACGAATGTGGAAAAACAACAAGAATAACAGACAAACATTGTTTCTAGTTCTTACTCTTGCTGGACTTCCTCCTGATCATGATTCTGTATGTGATCAGATTTTAGCTAGCCCTACCGTTCCTACAATCAATGAATTATTCTCTCGTCTCCTTCGTCTTGCGGCACCTCCCAGTCACAAAGTAGTTTCATCACCCACTGTTGACTCATCTATTCTCGCATCTCAAACCTTTGAAAAGCGTACATATCAATCTATGGAGAATCGGCGAGGGGGAGGGCGTTTTGGGAAACCTCGATCCAAGTGTAGTCATTGTCATAAGCCTGGACACACTCGTGATATATGTTATATTTTGCATGGTCCACCACCCAGTTATGATCCTATTGTTCTAAAGGAATATAATGAGTTCCTTCGAAATCGCGCAAGTAAACAGACATCTCCACCAGTAGCATATGGTGCTCAACCTAATCAACCATCCAATAATGCTCATATTGCTCAGACAGAATATGATGAGTTCCTTCAGTATCGTGCAAATAAGCAAACGTCTCCACAAGTAGTTTCGGTTGCACAACCTGATGTCTCTGTTGCGGGTAATTCTTTTGCTTGTGTGTCGCAATCTAGTACTCTTGGAACATGGGTCATGGACTCTGGGGCTTCTGATCATATCTCTGGTAATAAATCACTTTTATCCGATATTGTTTATTCACAATCTCTTCCAGCTATTACTTTAGCCAATGGGATCCAAACAAAACCAAAAGGGGTTGGAAAAGCCAAACCCCTATCTTCTGTCACCCTAGACTCTGTTCTTTATGTCCCTGGTTCTCCTTTTAATCTAGCATCTGTTAGTCGTTTGACGAAAGCCCTACATTGTAGCATAACTTTTTTCGATGATTTTTTTCTCATGCAGGACCGCAGTACGGGACAGATGATTGGAACAGGACATGAATCACAAGGCCTTTACTATCTTACCTCTTCAAATTCCTTAGCAGCATGCTCCGTTACAGATTCCCCAGATCTAATTCACAAACGTTTGGGACATCCGAGTCTATCCAAACTGCAAAAGATGGTGCCTAGTTTGTCTAGTTTATCCACATTAGATTGTGAGTCGTGTCAACTTGGGAAACACACTCGTGCTACGTTTTCTCGTAGTACTGAGGGTCGTTCAGAGTCTATTTTTTCATTAGTTCATTCTGATATTTGGGGTCCTAGTAGAGTCAGTTCCACCTTAGGATTTCGTTATTTTGTTAGTTTCATTGATGATTATTCAAAATGTACTTGGGTTTTCTTAATGAAAGATCGTTCTGAGTTATTTTCTATTTTCAAAAGTTTCTTTGCTGAAATACAAAATCAGTTTGGTGTTTCTATTCGTACTTTTCGTAGTGATAATGCCTTAGAATACTTATCCTCCCAATTTCAGGAGTTTATGACTCACCAAGGCATTATTCACCAGACTACTTGTCCATACACCCCTCAACAAAACAGTGTAGCTAAAAGAAAAAATCGGCATCTTATTGAGACCGCTCGTACTCTTCTCCTTGAATCCAATGTTTCGCTGCGTTTTTGGGGAGATGCAGTTCTTACGTCTTGTTATTTGATAAATAGAATGCCCTCTTCTTCTATTCAGAATCAGGTTCCACATTCCATATTGTTTCCTCAGTCACATCTCTATCCTATCCCTCCTCGTGTCTTTTGGGAGCACATGCTTTGTTCATAACTTAGCCCTAGGAAAAGGTAAATTAGCTCCTCGTGCCCTGAAATGTGTCTTTCTTGGTTACTCTCGAGTCCAAAAAGGGTATCGTTGTTATTCACATGATCTTCATCGATACCTTATGTTCGCTGATGTTACATTTTTTAAGTCTCAGCCTTACTATACATCTTCTGATCATCCTGATGTATCTATGGTCTTACCCATACCTCAGGTTTTACCTGTACCAACTTTTGAGGAATCTATGGTTACTTCTACATCTCCAGTTGTAGTGCCACCACTACTAACTTATCATCGCCGTCCACGTCCAACCCTAGTCCCAGATGATTCATCTCATGCGCCAGACCCTGCTCCTACTGCAGAGTTGCCTCCTCCTAGCCAACCGTTTGCACTTCAAAAAGGTATACGATCCACTCGAAATACTAACCCACATTATACCTTCTTAAGTTATCATCGTCTATCATCACCCCATTATGCATTTGTGTCGTCTTTGTCCTCTATTTCCATTCCTAAGACTACAGGTGAAGCACTTTCTCATTCTGGATGGAGGCAGGCTATGGTTGATGAGATGTCTGCTTTACATAAGAGTGGTACTTGGGAGCTTGTCTCCCTTCCTGCAGGTAAATCTACTGTTGGATGTCGTTGGGTTTGTGCAGTCAAAATTGGTCCAGACGGTCAGGTTGATCGACTTAAGGCTCGCCTTGTTGCCAAAGGGTATACTCAGATATTTGGGCTAGATTATAGTGACACTTTTGCTCCTGTGGCTAAAATAGCATCTGTTCGTCTTTTTCTATCTATGGTTGCCGTTCGTCATTGGCCTCTTCATCAGTTGGACATTAAGAATGCTTTTCTGCATGGTGATCTTGAGGAAGAAGTCTATATGGAGCAACCACTTGGGTTTGTTGCTCAGGGGGAGTCTAGTAGCCTTGTATGTCGATTGCGTAGGTCACTCTTTGGTCTGAAATAGTCTCCTCGAGCTTGGTTTGGGAAGTTTAGCACAGTAATTCAGGAGTTTGGCATGACTCGTAGTGGAGCTGATCACTCTGTGTTTTATTGGCATTCTGCACCAAGTCGATGTATTTATTTGGTTGTTTACATTGATGATATTGTTATCACCGGTAATGATCAAGATGGTATCACCGATTTGAAGCAACATCTCTTTAAGCACTTCCAGACTAAAGACCTTGGCAGATGGAAGTATTTTCTAGGTATTGAGGTTGCTCAGTCTAGATCAGGTATTGTTATTTCTCAACGCAAGTATGCCTTAGACATTCTTGAGGAGACAGGAATGATGGGATGTAGACCTATTGACACTCCTATGGATCCGAATGTTAAACTCCTTCCAGGACAGGGGGAGCCACTTAGTAATCCTGAAAGGTATAGACGGCTTGTTGGAAAGTTGAATTATCTCACAGTGACTAGACCTGTGAGTGTTGTAGGTCAGTTTATGACTTCCCCTTGTGATAGTCATTGGGAAGCAGTTGTTCGTATTTTGCTATATATAAAGTTAGCTCCCGATAAAGGACTACTCTTTGAGGATCAAGGCCATGAGCATATCATTGGATATACAGACGCTGATTGGGCAGGATCACCCTCTGACAGACGTTCGACATCCGGATAATGCGTTTTAGTAGGAGGTAATTTGGTGTCGTGGAAGAGTAGAAATAGAATGTGGTTGCTCGATCTAGTGCAGAATTAGAATATCGAGCAATGGCGACAACAACTTGTGAGCTAGTTTGGATTAAACAGTTGTTGGGAGAACTAAAATTTGGCAAAATTGATCAGATGGAACTTGTGTGTGATAATCAAGCGGCTCTTCATATCGCATCAAATCCAGTGTTTCATGAAAGGACTAAGCACATTGAGATTGACTGTCACTTTGTCAGAGAAAAGATACTCTCGGGAGATATTGTTATGAAATTTGTGAAGTCAAATGATCAACTTGTAGATATCTTCACCAAGTCCCTCACATGTCCTCGTATTAATTACATCTGTAACAAGCTAGGTACATATGATTTGTATGCACCAGCTTGAGGGGGAGTGTTAGAATAGAAATAAGTATTTCCTACTTAGAATAGGAATAGGAATAGGAGTAGGAATAAGAATAGGAATCCTAGTTGGAAAAGGATTCCAATGTAGTGTCTATAAATAGGGTCTCAATGTAACTATTTAGATACACAATTCAATAATAATTTTACCTAAACTGGAAACCTAGTTTCAAGATAGCAATAATCTTGGACATTGTAGCTTTCAAAGTCAAAATCAAAGAAGTGATTGATTCTAGCTTGAATGGCTATGTGCCTTACTATCTAAACTACTCGTTCCTCTAAGTTGCTTCACTTCACCCACATGAAGTGAAACTCCCACTTCACATCGATTCATCGCTTTAAGTGACTGACTGACTGACTGTTTTTACTAATGCCGGTGCTTGTACTGAAGTTTTGGAATTTTGGCTACCTGAAGCTTTATGTTGGTCTATAAATATAGAACATTCTTTATGTTTCAGTGAATTGGATTACAAAGAGAAGATGGAAACTGCTAGCATAAGTAGTTTATTTTATCTTGGTTGAACTTTATTGACACATTTCAGGTGGTACGGTACCATTCCCTTGTAATAGACCCGAAATCACTTCCAAAGGAACTCATTCCTATAGCTTGGACCTCAACGGCTGAGACACTCCCTTTCTATGGTGTCGAACGATCCAATTCATTCTTAAATGCGTCTAAAGAAAATGAAGATATTTTTAATGGGATGTTGGAGTTATCAGATGATTCAAAGGATGTGCAAGGTGGAAAAGTCCTCATGGGTGTCATGCATTCTAGTAGGCCGCACTATGGATTGCAGGTGAGTTTGGTCATTCACTTTGAATGAGAATTTGCTCCTGTTTCACTAATATGTAACATCGATTTTTTCTCTGCTACCAGTTCCACCCAGAAAGTGTTGCAACATGTTACGGAAGACAGCTTTTCAAGAATTTCCGGAAAATCACAGAGGATTATTGGCTCCTGTTGACGTCAACCTCCATCAATGAAAGAAGGGCTCATTATGCTGGTAACTGCTCTATAAAATAGAGATAGTTCAGTGGAGCTGCCTATTTAGTCTCTATAGTCTCTTTGAGTCCTTTTCATGGCATTGAATTATTTGTTTACTTAGAGAACTTTAGGTGTATGGATAATCCATCACTTATCAAGTTCATCAGATTTACTTGCTGCTGTAGTAAGTTTTGAGATTCTCTTGTTTTCTATTTATCATTGTGACTCCTAAATCAGCATATAAATGCTTTCAGCTTTTCCTGTTCTGTTTCAGTAGACTGTCCCCACATTTACTCTGAGTGGTAAAATTTACTTAGCATGCATGCAGGTGCCTAATCTAGACCCGCTGTCCCAAAGTGTTGCAAGACGTGGGCATCTGGTGAATAAATTGATTGAGAGGAGAACTGCCGAAGTGGATGGAACCTTAAATCTATCACATCCAGGTCACTGTGTAAAACTTTTGAAGATGACATGGAAAAAACTTGATTGCTCTGTCAGCCAAGTTGGTGGAGCAGATAATATTTTCTGTGAGCTATTTGGAGATCAAAAGGCTAAAAACAGTTTTTGGCTGGATAGCTCTTCAATAGAGAAGGTCTTTTCCTCTCCAGCTTTCAGTTTCAGTACCATACGTGATAACTGTTTTTGTCTGTCTCTGCATTTGGGAGTATTTTTCAAGTTGCATCAAAGATGCCATATCTTTCTTTCATTTTGTTTAAATTTCTTCTTTGTTGCTCTCTCAGGTAATGTGTCCTCTACCCGCTTTTATCAATTCTACATCTCTTCCCCTCCCCCAAAACAAAAACAAAACAAAAGCAATTATTCCCATGATTGTGTCAATTTGAAAGCAAGAAAATCAGATGCAGTAATTAATTATGATAGTTGTTAATTTGTTTACGAAATGGAAAGTAGAGGGTAGATTTCTGTTGAGACAGCATAAAACAATCTCTCTCGTTTTGTGAATTCTCATCTCATAAGTTGTCTGTCCTTTTTTATTTTTATTTTTTGAGGTTGGCTACTTTGCTTATGAGGCATCCCCTCATCTTTTTCCTTCTAACCATGATACACCTGTGGTATTCAGGAAAGGGCTAGATTTTCCTTTATGGGGGGAAAGGGTGGCTCCCTCTGGAAGCAACTTAGTTTTAGATTGTCAAATCGAAGGTGAGAATCTCTTCAAACGTTGCCTGAATGCCTTACTTGAGATCTTGTCGTTTCTCAATCGATCTCTGTTTGAATGCTACATTGCTTTTCAATAATAACACGTCATCTTACATTTTCAGTGACAGAACGTGTAAAGGAGGTGGCCATCTATCAGTTGAAGATGCTAATGGTCATGTTAATTGTAAATTTTTGGAAGATGGATTTTTTGATTATTTAAATAAGGTAGTGTATGCCAGTTTTTTTTTTTTTATTAAATTTTTTATGTGTTGCTGAAATTGAAGATCACCACCTCAATCAGTAGTCCAGAGTTAAAGTGGGGCAGAACAAGGAGATGCAATACTATCATGGGATATTCCCATTAACATATTGAATTTGAGCAATAGAGTAACACATTTTTGAATTTATTTGACCTCTTAGAAAATCTGATCATCCCATGTCCTATGTATCTGTGTAAGCAATGATAAATTTTTCATTGTTCAATTTTATGCAAGTATAGTGTTGAGCTCCTCCGTTTTGTTCCGTTCAGGAGAGGCTCCCCCCCCTCCTCCTTATAAGGATTTGATGTTAACAGTTTACTGATTAACTCCTTTGTCTCTGCACCAGGAGCTCCTATCATTTTGTTTCGATGAGAAGGATTATGAAGGATTACCATTTGATTTTTATGGTGGTTACATTGGTTATATCGGGTATGTAGTGATTTCATTTCAAATGATCTGAACCCTCCTACTCTATTATCTTAGTATCTATACATGTTTCAAGGACTTGCATTGTATGTTTTAGAAGTTTTTTTTCCTTCTTTTCCTTGAATCATTGGCTGTTGCATGTAGGGGGATGTCCTTTGCTCGTGTATATAAGGTTGTGTCATTTTTTTTTCATGGTAAGTTTCATGGCGTAGGAAGTCATGAATAGCAGAAAGCTTCATCTTCATATCATCTGTAGTTGTTCTATGCTGGATGAGACTCTGGATATAGCTGATGTATGGGAGGTTGGGTTGTTAATTTCTTCCATTTTATGTGTGTTTGGTTGGAGGGAGAATTGTTTCTCATGACTTGTGATCTTCTTGTGGTTTGACGTGTCTATTCCTGATACAGGTATGATCTTAAAGCTGAATGTGGTGTGGCATCTAATCGTCATAGATCAAAAACACCAGATGCTTGTTTATTCTTTACAGATAACGTTATTGTCATTGATCATCAGTGTGATGACATATATACTTTGTCACTACACGATGGAAGCACAAGTACTACTTCTCGCTTGGACGATCTGGAGCAGAGGCTGCTCAACTTGAGAGCTTTTACGTCCAGAAGGCTACAATTGCAGGCATCTCGAGGATTGTCTGTAGTCGAACTAAAATCAGGGTTTTCTGCTGAGAAATCAAGAGAGCAGTATATCAAAGATGTTGAGAATTGTCAAGAGTTCATAAAAGAAGGAGAAAGTTATGAGTTGTGTCTTACAACTCAGATGAGAATGAAGTTGGGGGAAATAGATTCTCTGGAACTTTATCGTAATCTCAGAGAAAGAAATCCTGCACCATATGCTGCCTGGCTTAATTTTTCGAGGGAAAACCTAAGCATATGTTGTTCATCACCTGAAAGGTTCCTACGATTGGATAGGAATGCTATGCTGGAAGCAAAACCCATAAAAGGGACTATAGCTCGTGGTTCCACCCCAAAGGAAGATGAATTTCTGAAACTGCAATTAGCATACAGGTACAGAAATCAAGATATCATAATACTGAAATATCAACTGACATTTATTATCCTCAGGAAGCTTTGATGGTATCATAGTACCGTAATATCAACTGACATTTTTATCCTCAGGAAGCTTTGACTATTGACCGTCTTACTTGTGTCTTATAGAATGTTCACCTTTCATCTCTAAAATTCATATCTCCCAGGAGTTCGAGTCTTTAATGTTGCTCTTGTTCGTATTTCCTAACTCTGACACTTATATTCACCCTTTTTGGCCTCTTAAGTGCTGGCGGGCTCAACCCACCAGCCACCTTTAATTTATCTGCCTAAGTTGCTTAGTTTAGTCCTTTTATTTAACTTCTATATTCACCTTGTTGTATCTAAGTATCTGTTTGCTATATAAAATGGTTGTCGTATGTCTTGGAACAGACTCATGCTCAAACAATCCTGACCAAGCTCTTAATAATTTGTGACAGTGAAAAGGATCAGGCGGAAAATTTGATGATTGTTGACTTGTTGAGGAATGACCTTGGGCGTGTATGTGAGCCTGGCTCTGTTCATGTCCCACATCTCATGGAAATTGAATCCTATGCAACAGTTCATACCATGGTCAGTACGATTCGGGGGAAAAAGCGATCAGATGCAAGTGCAATTGATTGTGTTAGGGCTGCATTCCCTGGTGGGTCAATGACAGGTGCACCAAAGTTGAGATCAATGGAACTTCTTGATCATCTTGAAAATTGTTCTAGGGGCATATACTCAGGCTGCATTGGATTTTTTTCTTATAACCAAGCATTTGATCTCAATATTGTGATACGGACTGTTGTCATACACGAGGGAGAAGCTTCAGTAGGAGCAGGAGGAGCCATCACAGCTCTTTCAGATCCCAATGATGAGTATGAAGAAATGATTTTGAAAAGTCGAGCACCGATTAAGGCTGTTCTTGAACATCAGAGCAGCATCTTCTCATCAGATGCACAGAAGTGACAGCGGTTGAAATGTCCAATGCAGAAATAGTGGTATTGAACTCTCTTAGTTTTTGGAAAACTGTGGGAGATGCAGCTTCTAGTAGTTATAATCAAAAGGGAGGGGAAATAGTGGATGAAAGTAGTCAGGTAGCCTATGTAATTCATGCAAATATTTGTCATGACCTCGTTCTGTCAGCACAATCTATTCATTCTTTTGAGCATGGTGTTTGGAAAATATAGCCATGATAGCATACAGATCTGCACTGACCTGCAGTGACTAAAATACTGTACATAGAGGATTCTGAAAGACCTGTAGAAAATTACAGATATGTTTGTGAACTTGTAATAGTACCGAATTGATAATTCCACGTTTGATTTTTTAAGAGAAAATCGTTGACAATAGTTTTTTATTTGACTAACTTTTCCACGTTCTGTTACTTTTTGACTGCTCGTCATATATACCTGTAAATTGGAAAATGATAAGTATTGACCCCGTAGATGTGATATCAATTTGGTGAGATGAGGTTTAGCGTTATCATAATCAAGTTTGATGAATCCTCAAAACCATTAATGTCTTAACTTCAACTATTTTAGTTATTAGTTTAGGATTGAGGGAGTTGTGTTGCACTTACTCCTCTACTTTACTCAAGAATTGTGGAATGAGCTACTTTTTTGTTCTTGTGGTCTATGGAGGGAAGGAAATAGATTTTAAGGAGTTGATTTTTTTTTATAAAATAAGAGGGCTGGTTGGCTCATTACACCAATGATGAACAAGTAAGAATGTAACCCTTTGAAGCAGTGGCGAAGCCAGGATTTTCATTAATGAGTGTCAATGGTTGTAGTGAAAAAAATAAGGGAGAAGTATTGAAAACATTCTAAACTTGGCATGAATTGTTAGTTTCGTCTTCAAACTATTGATAGGCTTAGAAACACTTCTCTATTTAACTAATTGAATAAAAAGCAAAGAAAATCAAATTTAGGGTGTAATTCACCCATGTGGCAAAATCAGGATGTATTTAAGTTCCATTAGTCAAAGGAGTGTTTTTAAGACTATCAATAGTTCGGAGACGAAACTAATAATTCGTGCCATGTTTAAGTGTGTTTTTAATACTTTTCTCAAAAAATAATTATGAGACTAGTAGGGCTTAGAACATGCACCCTCAAGGAATTTACACAATCCCTTAACCACTAGACTAAACCTTTAACTTGTGTTAAAAGGTGTCAATACTTGTATATATATTTTGTTAAACCAAAATTTAATCTATATATACCATGTAATTTTCCGACGACGGGTTGTCACTTGCCCCTTGGCCAAGAGTGTCTCCGCCTCTGCTTTGAAGAACCAATTGATTGTGTTAGAGCAGCATTCCCTGGTGGGTCAATGACAGGTGCACCAAAGTTGAGATCAACGGAACTTCTTGATCATCTTGAAAATTGTCTAGGGGTATATACTCAGGCTGCATTGGATTTTTCTTCTTCTTATAACTAAGCATTTGGGGTGTGTTTGGTATGAAGGAAAATGTTTTTCTGAAAAACAAGTAGATTTTTGACTTATTTTCTCATGTTTGGTTGGTGAGCAGAAAATATGTTTTGGAAAAGATTTTTAGTATTTGATTTATGAATGAAAATATTTTTGAGAAATATATTTTATTTTTACTAGAGTAGAAAATAATTTTTGAAATTGAAAACACTTTTTAAAACAAATTTATTTTGGTGGTGGTGGTGGTAGGGGTGAGGGTGGGATAAAAAAATTGAAGTTAAAAACATTTTTTAAAAACAAGCTTTAATTTTTTTTGGGAGGGTATGGTTGGGGGGCTGATTTGAGGATAGGGACAAAATAAATTGATTTATTCAACAAAACAAAATTGTAATTTGAAGTTGGAAGAGAGTTTTAGAAAATATTTTTCATAAATTTTGAAGGAAAGTCATTTTTCTTAAATTTGAGGAAAATGAATTGATTTATTCAACAAAACAAAATTGTAATTTGAAGTTGGAAGAGAGTTTTAGAAAATATTTTTCATAAATTTTGAAGGAAAGTCATTTTTCTTAAATTTGAGGAAAATGAATTGATTTGGAAAATAATTTCCAAAATATTTAACCCAACCAAACATAAAAATATTTTCCTTCATACCATACACACCCTTGATCTCAATATTGTGATACGGACTGTTGTCATACACGAGGGAGAAGCTTCGGTAGGAGGCGGAGGAGCCATCACAGCTCTATAAGATCCCAATGATTAGTATGAAGAAATGATTTTAAAAAGTCAAGCACCGATTAAGGCTGTTCTTGAACATTATCTTCTCATCAGATGCACATAAGACATAAGTGACATGACCACTTGATATGTCCAATGTAGAAATAGTGGTATAGTACTCTCTTAGGGCTTGTTCGATAGAGTGTGTAAGAATAGTGATATATAGATTGTATTAGTAATGTTTGTATTAGCAATATTATGCTTGCATTAATGAAAAATTTTGTGCATATTTTGGTTTGATGCACTAAAAATAGCATGCATTGCATAAAGAAAATTTATTTACAAATTAAGATATTCTCCACTATTATGGTTAGAGACGAACTCGAAATTTGAAGATAGGGGGCACCACTAAGAGTGGCTCAAGGGTAAGGTTAGCGAAGTGTAGAACTTTAATTATGCAGTGAAGAATACTTATAAGATGTAGATTTTCTAGCAGTTTTATATTTTGTTTAGAATTGTGTTAGAGTTTTTATTTGTTTTTAATTTCAATTAAGAAATGAATGGGGTCAGATGAGATGGCAAAAAAAGGTGGTTAAGAAAGGGGATGGAGAGGATGAGGTGAGAAAAACTAATTTTAATAAAAAAAAAATTTAATTGTAAAGAAAAAACTGATTTTAAAGTTAATAAAAGGGATGGGGCTGATGAGGTGGCAAAATCGAGTTTTAATAAAAACCAATTTTTTAAAAAAAGGTTAGCTGTAAAGAAAAACTGATTGTAAAGTTAAAAAAAAGCTACCTTTCGTGGGATTCGAACCTGCACAGCCACTATCCAAACTGTAGTCTTCGACCAATGCACCCAAGCGTCTTTCAGTTAAAAGATGGTGCACAATTAAATATATCACCGTTTTATCAACAATCTATACATATATATACAATTTTTTAAAAAAGATACGGGGTTCATGTGCACCCTCATGGGTGCATGTGGGTCCGCCTCTGAATTTATGGTGGAAAAGATGTAAAAGGGGTTTTGAGGGGTAATTGAATTTTTAATTATGCTAATGCATGCATTAAAATCATTTTGCATTGCTAATACCTAAAAATTCATAGCATTAGTAATACACACCTTAATAGATAATACAGTGTATATTTATACATAAATTGAAAAGGAATACCATACAAGGTACTAATAATACACAAAACTAATACGTGCATTATTTTTCGTAATACACTCTACCAAATGACCCCTTAGATGTTTCTGGAGCAATTTGCAGCTTCTAGTAGTTATAATTAAAAGGTAGGGGAAACAGTGGATGAAGGTAGGCAGGTAGTGATCTGCAGTGACTAAAATACTGTACACAATCACAGAAATGTTAGTGAATTTGTAATAGTACTGAATTGATAGTTCCACGTTTGTTTTTTTTTTATTTTTAAAAAAGAGAATCGTTAACAATAGTTTTTTATTTGACCAACTTTTCAATGTTCTGCTACTTTTTGACTGCTAAGTATGCTCGTCATATTGGTGCCTGTAAATGGGGAAAAAAAAAAGAGATTTAGGGTGTGTTTGGTATGAAAGGGAAATGTTTTCCATGAAAAATGTTATCCTAGAAAATAAGTAGATTTTGACTTATTTTCACATGTTTGGTTGGTGAGTAGAAAATATTTTTCAGAAAAGATTTTTTAGTGTTTAATTTATAAATGAAAAATATTTTGAGAAAATATCTTTTATTTTTACTAGAGAATAGAAAATTATTTTTGAAATTGAAAATAATTTTTTAAAAATAAACTTAAATTTTTTTGGGGGAGGGGTGGGGGAATGAGATGGGGTAAAAAATAATAATTTTGAAATTGAAAATAATTTTTAAAAGCTTATTTTTTAAAAAATAAGCTTTAAAATTATTTTTTCAACAAAAAAAATTGTAATTTGAAGTTGGAGGAGAGTTTTGAAAAATGTTTTCCTTAATTTTTGAAGAGAAGTCATTTTCCTTGAATTTGAGGAAAATGAGTTGATTTGGAAAACATTTAACCCAACCAAACATGAGAAAATTGGAATTCATACCAAACACATCCTTAGTGTTATTATGATCAAGTTTTGATGTATAAAAAGTTGCATTACTTTTACCATGTTTGGTAGAAATTTTGTATTAGGTGGAAAAGTTAACATAACTTATACCATGTTTGGTTGGTAGAATTCTAAATGTTGTATAAAAGTTATTCATGTATTAATTTTATACGGTGTTTGGTTGTGTTTTTGGTAGTCCTACATAATTAATACCAACATAACTTATGAGGGAATTTATGTATAAGTTATGCAGGATAGAAGGTGGAATAAGTTATGCAAGTATTAGTTATACAAGTATTAAAATAGTAAATTACACATTTACCCTTATTGATTTATTTTAAATTATTTTCATTGAAAATGTTATCCAACTATGCTATTTTCCTAACTTTTTTTTTAATACACGAACAACTTTTTTTTTCTGTTTTCATTTGAAATCCAAATGTAATATTTTATTAATATTACAAATTGAATTGTATATAGCGTTATATATTATTAAATATATTCCACTTATTTAATTAACATGTATTATTATTTTGTTTAGGATGTGAATTTATACATAATTCATATATTTGGTATATTAAAACTGTATAAACAATATATACAACATATTGATAGAATATTTACATTATATAAAATAGATTATTATAATGTACTTGAAATATATCAATCGTATTTTATTTTTATAAGTTATAAACATAAAAAAAATAACAAAATGAAAAAATAGCAATCCCAATTAAGTATAGAGGGAGAATTTTCTTTCTTTACTTTTTATTCAAAAAGAGGGAGAATTTATACTATTTGCTTACTTATTTATTTGTAAGTAATATATATTAATTTACAACAAATTCAATATTTATTAGTTAATAATTTATGCATTGTGATCTCTACATAACTAAATAATATATGCATAACTAAACCCTGCATAACTAATACCTGCATAATTAAACCATGCATAACTAATACCTGCATAACTAAACCCTGCATAACTATACCTGCATAACTCTAACCAGTAACCAAACGGCCCCTTAATGTCTTAACTCCAACTAGTTTAGTTATTAGTTTAGGATTGTGGGAGTTTTGTTGCACTTATTGAGGAGAGTTGGTAAGATAATTACTTTCAAAGCTTATTTGGACATTTAGTCACAAGTTTTGAAAAATTA